AATTTGCCTACTCCATTCCAGCCACAATCTGCTCCGGGTTTTCCCTTTTGCCAAGTCAATTCCAGGCTCCAGCCTAAATCCAGTCCAGGTTTTCCCATTTGCTGACTCCATTTCGAACTCCGGTCCTGGGTTTCCCATTTGCCAAACAGTTCTGGTTTGAAAGAAAAACCGGTGAGAGATACCAAGTCAGAAACCCAACTTATTAGGAAAAGAGAAAAGAAACTAAATCCATGCAGCAATACAAAAGGAAAACCACTGACAGAGTCAGAATACAACCTGGAACCCTTTTGGCCAGCGTGTTGGTAGCCGTCCAAATTGGGAATGGCTGCAGTCCTCCTGGAGTGGCAGATGTGGTTCTGTTGGAGCTGTGATCCTGTAGAAGGGTGTACTCTTTCTCTGAAAACCCCAGCTGTCCCTCTTGGGAACCAGTGGAAAGGCTGCCTCTGATGCCCCCGAAACCCAGATTATATCCAGTTAGGAATGCTTGGCACCTCCCTCTGGGTGGAGCATCTCACAGTGAGATGTTCCAGTTCTTATCAGTCACGCATTCAGTAGCCCGTTACCAGCAGATGTCTCCCCTGAGAGAGGACTGGTTGCGAAAGAGAGAAGGAAAACTGCTCACTTAACAGAAGACAACTGCCATACAGATGGGAATTGAAATACATCTTGCTTCTCAGTCTGGGACACAACTCCATTCCAGACTCCAGCCACAATCTGGACCAGGTTTTCTCTTTTGTTGACTCCATTCCAGACTCCAGCTGTGATCCCATCTGGGTTTTCCCTTTTGCTGACTCCATTCCGGACTCTGGCTGAAACCCAGGGTTACTTGAGGTCATTTGTTTTGAGGAAAAACTCCAGAGGTTTTTGTGGAAAAAGGAGACAGAGGAGTCCTTCAGCTTTATTCAAATAAAGAGAGTCTCCTGGGGTACACCTGCATTTTGGAAGGATCAGCCTCCATTTATCCTAATCCTGGCTGCATGTTGCCCTCTTCCTTTTCCCACTGGTTGAGGTAGCAGGAAGGCACAGCCTTCCCTAATTGCCTACAACATATTCCCCCTTTGCTTTACCCCAAAGTGCAAAACTTCAGCCTTGTGCAGTCCCTTGTCCATGTCAGGAGCTGTCTGTGCTCTGCAACAAATCTGCTGCCCAAAGTCTGAAAGTCTGTAGAGACCCAATTCAAATGTGTTAACACCCACACCTTCACCAGTCCACATGTCTGTGAAGACATGACTTGCCTCTCAATCCCTCCTCTTATTTCTCAATTTCTCTTTACAAACCTGAGTTACTAATAACTTCATCCTTTATAGCAACCTGGAGCCCTTGGAACACACCCTCCTGACTTCTCCACATCTGGTCCATCCCTGCACCAGGCATGGCAAGTAAATACAGAGAATAAAAGAGACAATGACAGTTCTTATTATTCCATTAATCCCTAGAGGTCCTTGTCTGTGCCTACTGACAGCCCAGGTCTCCCATCCTTTTCTTCCAGCTGAGAAGTCCAAATCTCTAGGCCTTTAGAGACCTTGACCCAAGGGTCCACCCATGTCCAGCTCTCCCAGCTGCTGTCTCTGCAGTCCTGGCTGCATGTCCTGGACAGCAAAGTCCAAAGGCAGAGTATCTGCTAACGAGGCTTCCTGTCAAAGAGATTAGACTAGATACAGTCTTCTGGTCACACACTGGTTTAAATATGTATCTTCACCTCCCTGCCACTTTAAAAATCAACACGGTAAGAATCCCAGATAATTCAAAGTGGAATCATTGAATATTCCCTCTGGTGTAGCTCTTATTCTTGCCAACGCTAATGGCAAAAGCCATACCCATGGCATCTTAGTTTCTATCACCAGCTTCAAAGCGTGTTTCTTTATTACTCCATTCATCCCGTCTACTTGACCTGAATTCTCAGGTTGCCAGGAGGCATGGAATTCCCACAGAATTCTCAAATCTCTTCAAGGATCCCCCTGTCAAGTGAGTTCCCCCATCCAAGTCCATTGCCTTCACCATCACATATTCTGAAATCATTCTCCAAAGCATGAACCACCCCACTTGCATACTTTTAATCTGGAAATACATTCACTACCTTTCCTTGATACATTTTGCAGACTTTTATTAAAGCCTATAGTTCTGTGCTTGTGCTGACCATGTGCATGTTAGCTTCCCCCCTTCTTGCAATTCCCTTTTTTTACTAGAGCACATCCAGTAATTCCTTTTCATCCTATAGTTCTTGAAGATCCATCACCTTTTCTGCTTCTCAGGTTCAAATCCTCCTGTTCCATTAAACATGGCTCTCATACTGGAACAATCTAGTGCTGGTCACCCCTTTAGAATTTAATGCCAGACTTTACCTGCCATCAGTTACCATCAAAGCTGTTATGAACAAAAATAAAATTTGAACTTTTGGGGAAGTGTGGTTGGCAATGTGTGTGTGGGGTTGAATGTTGTTGGTGCAGGTGGCACGTTGTGATTGGAGATGTGGTTAGCAATGTCTGTGCAAGGTTAAATGTTGTTGGTACAGGTAACAAATGGTGATTAGTTATGTTGAAGCTCGGTGCTGTTGTTCCTTTGGCACAACCGTGTTCAACATCCACATACAATTCCAATTCTTTTCTGGGCCTGGGAGAGCAAAAGCTGGGGCATTAATCAACCTTTCTTGTAATGTTAGGTTCTGCTTTCCTTCTGGTGTCTATACAACAACATAGGGACTATCTTGGGTTAAAAAATCACAGAATAAAAAGTCCTTAATCCACTTCCAGCAATACCCTCTTCATCCCAAAAATTGTCACAGCTCCCCTTCACTCCTGGCCAAAGGCACTTCCAAGAGTTCCTGGACTTCCTCTGAGCCATCACACTTCCAAGTCTTCAGTCAAAATAGGCCCCAAACATTCAGCCTTTTCCTCCACCACCTGTGCCTTCCCTTCAGGCACTCCGAGCCTCCCTCGCAGCCAGAAAAGTGAATAATTGCACAGTGCCTTTCCCTACCAGCTCGTCCCATTCTCCTGACAGGCGGAGCAAGTTCTTCACATACTGCAATAACCTCATTCCTAGGGATGGAGTAAATTAACCTCTTGCCCAAATAATCCCTTCTGCCTCTTGCTCCCACTCAAAGGCAACATTCTGTTGACTCTGCTCTGTAAGTGGGCATCCCAGAAAACATCCTTTAGTAGCAGTGTCAGGAGGGAATCAGGTGCAAGATGGTACAAGGATCCGGGACTGTGGAGTGCCTGGGTTTAATAATCTCGCATGAGTCTCTAAGCTCCATCTGATTTCCTACCTGTCAGGACAGCAGTGTCATAAGAAGACACACGTGGCTCCAAAAGTCCTGCCTTCAACAAAGACTAACAACAGCAGGCTGGAACCCCTACTTTCCCTCCCTTAAAACAGGGTGGTGTTTTTTAGACACCTTTTGTCCAGGTTTCCTCAGAGTCATGTGGAGAGGCTCCACATCCAGTTTTCCACATTCCCCTGAGAATGCCCACACCTCTAGGTTCACTCCAACAGTGCTAGCCTCCTCATCAACCTTTGCAACACTAACTCACATTCCCAACTCCAGCCATCAAATCCACTCCTTGCAAACCACAATCGCAACTAGGAATAACCAGGAACTCACACTTTTCAAACCTGTCTCACATTCAGCAAAATCTCACAGGCATCTTCATGTTAGTTTTATTTGCTGGCAAAACTCAAACACCTACATCTTTCCCAATTACAAAAAGAACATTTGAACAATTGTTCCCCCTTTGGCATCAAATTCAAATTATAATAGCAGATCCTGACACCCTTGACGATCCATGTCTAATATTTCATTCCTTCCCAATTGCTGTCCTGGTGGCTGCCCCTGGGGCACCCAGCACTTTTTCCCACTGGGGCTTGTAAAAACTGACACTATTCTTGCCCGTGCCTTTACCTTTTCCTCATAATCTCTTCTTTCATATCTTTCTAACCAGTTCATCCAGAGACTTATTCTGCCCTTCCACCTACTGCATGTGGGTGCTCATTCTCCCACAGCTCACAATCACTCATTTCTCCGGTGACCCAAACAAAATCATTGAAAGAAAATCCTGAAAGAAAATCCTAATTCTTCCACATACAAGCCACATTTCCCAGATATTCCACTCTGTTCCTCCTTGTGCTCACCCTCCTCACCACACACCAGAGCCAGTCCCCGTCCAGCCGCACTGTCCAGGACCCTGGGGTACTACATGGACAAACTCAAATCCTCCAGGCTCCAAAATGGCCCGGGGAAGGGTGGGGCTGTAGGAACAAAATCTCCTTATTCTCCCTCCCAGACCGAGCACCCAATTGTCAGGAAAATCCACAAACGCCAGAGGTTTATGCCCAAAAAAAGAGACAAGAGGAGTCCTGCAACTTCATTCAAATAAAGGAAGCGAGTCCACCAGGCCCACGGCATTTTCTCCCTGCTGGTTTTGGAGGGCAAAGCCTCCTCTTATCCTAATTCCTGGACCCCTCTTCCTTTCTCTATTTGCTGAGGTACTAAGAAGGCACAGCCTTCCCAAACTGCCTACCACATATTCCCTCCTTGAAGACACTGTTTTACCCCAAACTTTTGAAGCTGAGGCTTGTGCCTTCCCTTGTGAACGTCGGGAGCCGAGCAATCTGCACTCTACAAGAAACACGCTGCCCAAAGCCAGTGGAGACATTAACATCCATTTCAAAGACCTTCCTTCACCCATGGAATTGTCTGTAGAGACATTAGCACACATTTTCCATATCTTATCTAAGCCTACTGTGAAAAACACCAATCACTTGGTTTCTAAAATTTTAAAAGTTTAATGATAATAAAATGGTTATAAAAATAGTAATACAATTAGAGTAATAAAGGTTAGAGTTAGGACAATTACAAGACAATAAAAAGTAAAGAATTATGGACATCTGGATGCTCTCGGACACTAAGTCACGAAAAGCATCCCTTATGAACAAAGGAATAACCTTAAAAGCAATAGCCTGTTGCATATTCATATATCTCACACATGATACATAAATTCCTTGCAAATTAAGAACTTTTCTGGTTTTTGTCAACTTCTTCTCCTTAATCTTGCTGGTTCCAAAAAAGACGGAGAGAAGGTGGAAGAATGTTTCTCTTTTCTGATAAGGAGGCTGTAACTTTTTATGGGCCCCCTTCACTGACATCTCTGTGTGAAGAGTTTCTTGATTATCTCATCTTCTTGCTTGAGCTTGTTACAAATCCTATATCACAGAGTTTCTATTTTAACATTATGCTGTAACCTAAAACTACATTTACCACACTACTTACAAGAATTAACACAGCATTAACTTTTTAACATTACACATACAATATTCATCGGAACATTTGCGAAAAGCCAATCACAAAATACGCATTTTTCACGCTACTGTCTTTCAGCTCGAAGCCATTCCCATAGGTTTTGTCACTAGACGTAAAAGACCGCTCTCCATCCTCCCTAAAGCTCCCTGCAGGAGGACAAGAGCCGTGTCCAAGGCTCAGGGCTCTCCTTCGAGGCTGCAGCCCAGCCCATTCCCCGCAATCCCCACACGTTTCCAGGGCCGCAGCCCATTCCCTGCAGTCCCATTCCCCGCAGTCCCATCCCTGCAGTCCCATTCCTGCAGCCCCATTCCCCGCAGCCCATTCCCGCAGTCCCATTCCCTGCAGTCCCATTCCCCGCAGCCCATTCCCGCAGTCCCATTCCCCGCAGCCCATTCCCCGCAGCCCATTCCCTGCAGCCCATTTCCTGCAGTCCCATTCCCCGCAGCCCATTCCCCGCAGCCCATTCCCTGCAGCCCATTTCCTGCAGTCCCATTCCATCAGTCCCATTCCCGCAGTCCCATTCCCGCAGTCCCATTCCCGCAGCCCCATTCCCACAGTCCCATTCCTGCAGTCCCATTCCTGCAGTCCAATTCCCGCAGTCCCATTCCCTGCAGTTCCCATTCCCCGCAGTCCCATTCCCTGCAGTTCCCATTCCCCGCAGTCCCATTCTTGCAGTCCCATTCCCCGCAGTCCATCAGCCCCATTCCCGCAGTCCCATTCCCTGCAGTCCCATTCCATCAGCCCCATTCCCCGCAGCCCATTTCCCGCAGCCCCATTCCCGCAGTCCCATTCCCGCAGTCCCATTCCCGCAGCCTATTCCCCGCAGCCCCATTCCCGCAGTCCCATTCCCGCAGTCCCATTCCCGCAGCCCATTCCCCGCAGCCCCATTCCCGCAGTCCCATTCCCGCAGTCCCATTCCCGCAGCCCATTCCCCGCAGCCCCATTCCCACAGTCCCATTCCTGCAGTCCCATTCCCGCAGTCCCATTCCCCGCAGCCCATTCCCTGCAGTCCCATTCCATCAGCCCCATTCCCGCAGCCCATTCCCTGCAGTCCCATTCCATCAGCCCCATTCCCCGCAGCCCATTCCCGCAGCCCATTCCCCGCAGCCCCATTCCCACAGTCCCATTCCTGCAGTCCCATTCCCTGCAGTCCCATTCCATCAGCCCCATT